GATGGATGGTTATTGAGGATAAATAGAGGAGAGATAGAGGAGAGATCGAGCGGGTGAAAGATGGATAGAGATAGATGGAGAGAGAAAGAGAGAGAGAGAGAGGAGAGATAGAGGAGAGATCGAGCGGGTGAAAGATGGATAGAGATAGATGGAGAGAGAGAGAGAGAGAGAGAGGAGAGATAGAGCAGGGATAGATGGATGGAGATTTGAGAGAGAGAGAGAGAGAGAGAACAGATAGAGCAGGGAAAGATGGATGGTGAATATTAGAGGAGAGATAAAGGAGAGAAAGGGTAGAGATAGATGGATGGAGAGAGAGAGGAGAGATGAATGAGAGATAGCGGAGAGATAGAGGAGAGATAGAGCAGGGATAGATGGATGGAGAGAGAGAGAGAGATAGAGAAAGAGGAGATATAGGGTAGAGATAGATGGATGGAGAGAGAGGAGATATAAATGAGAGATGGAGGAGATGGAGGAGAGATAGAGCAGGGATAGATGGATGGATATAGATGGAGATCACCGTTTTCACGAAGTGGTCTCGTTGCTCGCGCAGCAACAAAAGTGAATTTCGAGATAAACGCATTTTAACTTTTTATGTTATTAAAACGGGGGTTAACGTACATCTTCAAAGATTTCCTTTGACAACCACATAGTACAGATTCTAACGATTCTGCTCATATATATTTTGTTTACAAAAAATATATAATCAAGTGGGGATATTGTAACAAACTGTGGGATCGGTTCGTGAAAACGAAAATATGCGCATTCAACATACGCGTCGTTTTCACGAAGCGGTCTAGAGGAGTGCGCGACCGGTTCTTGTGTGAGAGGTCTCGCCTTTTCCGTTTTCACGAAGTGCGCTATTCGACAGCAGGCTATATGAGTTTCATGAACTATCTCGTAAATACCATCTAGGAGTTTTGTTTCCTTTCATAAGATGAAGTAGTATGACCCTTTAAACAACATATATTTTTTCACAAGCTAAATTCTTACACATTAATGAGTTATTATAAGTTTAAGTTGTTTAATTATGTTTGTCGCCCTCTTGAGTACCAAAAGGGACAAATGGACGAAAGGTGTGTCTTTCAACTCCTCTTTTTGTTATATGAGGGAGAATATGATGTAAACCCATGTTAAAAAACTAACTTCTAATAAAGTATGTGAACTTAGCTTTACATCCTATTCGAGGGACACTCAAAACGTCTTTCCCCCTTGCTTTACTGCAAATGTTTCTACTTTTACAGGGTCACATAATTACTTTTCACATTACTTCTCAAATTCTACTTTACTAACAAATGATGAAGGAAATGACATAATAATGATAATATTAAGAATAAATTATAATGATCTTAGGATTATTATAATTATTGCAAGCATTCCTATTGATATTATTATTATTATCAACAAATTGTGTTCACAGACATTACTTATTTGGGACCGGGATCCAGAAAATACCATCCATACTGTCAAATATGACCCCCCCCCCCCCTCCCACCCCTATACAACTGCATTCGTCATACCTAGTTGATTCTGTCTCTTCACAATCACATCATGTTCTGCTTCAGATGTAATTAAGTTTGATTGAATATTTTTGTCAATGATCAAAAGTATATTTGTATACTTTTTGTTAGCACTCAATTGCTTCTCAGTTCTTTCTCTCTCTCTCTCTAGCTCTCTCATGCAAACTTGAACATTTCCTCTACCTCTCTCTCTTTTTTTGGCTCTCAATTTCTTTCTTCATTTAACACATCTCATAATCGTTTGTAACGCTTCTGCTGCCATATCTTCTTGCCACATAAGTCATCATTCTATAGTACATTACTCTCTCAGACACATTTCTTCCATAAACAAATCAAACTCAACAAGGATAAACGTTGAATAGCACAAAGCAATCAAATCTTAAGATGAACACTTTCATCATGGTAATGACTGAATTTATTTCTTTGCAATATAACTGGAATCGTTTTTTTACAGTTCATTTCACAATTACATGTACAATCATTAAAAATTGATAAATCATAATAATAATAATAATAATTATAACAATAGCCTAAAAGTTCACTCCAAATTTTATTAAACCGAAACGGAAATTCTTTTTGCCCAATTGATCGTGAGCCAGGCAGCCACTGAGCGCCAGATCGACGTTGCTCTATCCCTTATTGTTGAACGCCAAACAAGGTAGCAACAACTCCCATCTTTTAACGTCTTTTGGTATGATGCGGCCGGGATTCGAACCCACGACCTCCCGGTTGTGAGGCGGACGCTCTACTGACTGAGCCAACACTCCGGTGTAATGAATCATGTTTGAATATCAAAATTGCAACTTATTTAACTGTAGCCCACACTCATGGCAAAAAATACAACATGGTAGCTCTATAAAGAAGGGGGGTACCGGTGTTCTTGGAAAATTCTGAAATGCAAATTCACAAGGCCACTGATTAGGGGGAGGGTTACAATATAGTTTGAGTACTGCCACAATGGAAGAGGAGCTTAAAAGAAAATCATTAATTATTTATATTGTTTGTGTATGACATACACAGTTGTCAGCTGCATACGTCCCCGTTGCCTCATAAAATTGCAGATCTGAGATTTACATAGATGTTGTAATCTAACTTTTCAAACATTATTTCTTATTCTTTGTCTGATTTCTTTCAAACTTTCACCAGTCTAATACATTCATTTTTTTCTGCTTTAACATAAATCAACTTGTTACAAAGGTTGGATTGCCCTTTGAAATATAAACTATTAGCAATTAATATTAGTCCTACATGCCAAATCCTTCTAAAAAACATACAACACTGTAAGTTTATGGGATTAAAACTTCTTACATGCAACTTTCATATGATGGATGACCTTAGTCTGTGCTGTTCTTAGTGAGGAAGGAGGGAGGTTGTCACTGTCAAAATAATAATAACAATATGCTCAAGGCGCTCCAACTATTACCCTGGCTCTGCTAGGCAGCCGCTTTCGGTGCTCCCAGCAGAGTGGCAAATGTAGATTAATATCTTGCCAAAAGACATTACTGCTATGGCGGGACTTGAACCATGGATCCTGTGATCCACAGTCCAACTACTTATCCACTAGAACACAAAACCTCTAAATGGAGGCACATTCGGAGTCAGAGTCTCCTGTCAGCGTTGCAGTCCCCGTCCAGTCCACATCCATCTAGCTCATAGTAACTCTTGAACCCACCCTAAGCCTTCCGTTATATCGAAGATCTCGTTTCTTGCCACAATTGATCTCTCCATCACGATCCCACCTAACAATATCTTCTGTATTTTTGTCCATCCTAAGAGGTAATTGACAAAAGATTGTTACAATCAAGTTATTTATTTATTTATTTATTTATTTCTGATCTTTTGACAGGGTAGCCCATTCACCAGCAAGTAGTGGTCTTCCATGGGGCCCTGAATGAACATATTTACATCGTTTATAACATTTATACAGAACAGTTACAAAAATAATACTCGTTTGCAAAATAAACATATATCATTAACCTAGTAAGCAGTAATGTCAATAGGAAAATATTAATTAAGTCGCAATTATGTGAATAAGTCATGTAAATATTACAGAACATGCACGTAGTGTATGTACGGCTGAGCCATTCACAAATTACAACTTTGTTTAAACAATCTCTTAAATGAATTGACAGAGGAAGCCGATCTCAACGAATTATCTAGCTTATTCCATTCAAATATGGAAGAAACAATTGGGCTACACTTATAACAATCAGTGTGAAATCTAGGCACACGTAAACATCCACTGTCTATTTGCCTTGTATAATGCTCATGTACACCATTAGGATTGATTAAGCCTACCTGAAGGTAAGAAGGTGCTAAGTTATGAACGCATTTATATATCATCATAACGCGACTTAACTCAAACCGCTTGTCTAGTGTCATCCATTTAAATAACTCGGTTCAATGATAAGTAGAGAAGACAGTAATTTTATTTCATAAAACAGGAATGAAACCTAGAAACAGGTATTAAATAAAAAGTGGTTTTACTCTGTCCTAAATTGATATTTCGAAATATACAGTAACTATAAATGAAAATCAGAATATGAATTTAAGGTCTACTTTTAACAGAAAAAAAGCAAAGCATGCACCGAGTAGAAAAGCAGATTTGCAATTGTTTTATAAATACTGTTGCACCATTTATTCACTTAGAATGCAATTTGTGACATTGTGGCACTAAATTCCTGGTAGGAAATCAGAGTGGTATAACTCCTATTTTACAAATATGAATGGCTTACCTGTGTTCAACACTTTTAGGTTGGGAGGATTGGTATATTGTTTAAAAAAATTGTGACAGCATACTCCATGGTCTGTATGGTACTATTGTATTCCATTTCAATGAAAAATGTAGAGGACATCTATACAGTATTTATCAACCACTGAAGATGATATGATAGGGTTCCATATGTATTACTGGGTTTGTTGTCAATCATTGAATTGATATGTTCATATCTAAAGAAGATATAAAATCTGCAGGTTATCAGCAAATGTGTGATGAATGTTATAAACCCAGTAAGTAATAATGAATGTACTTGCATGTACTTGTCTGCCAGATTGAAAGAAACTTTATTATATCAACTTTCAGAAAGACCACTCAATAAGGATCAATATTCAAAGTTAGTCAAGCGTATAATATCATTCATTATTATTTAATTATCTCACATAGACACGCGTGATGTAGCAGCGGGAAATATAAGAGCATATTACCATACGTTTCACATCTGGGTACTTGTACATGATAAATGTATAAGTGATACTTGAAATATAAGAAGAGGATAATTGATAATAATAACATCGACTGGCTCACATTTTGGTTGATATGAGACAATATTGCCCTCAACATAACCATATTGCCCTCGTCTTCGACCCGGCTAATATGATTATATTTGGGCAATATAGTTTCATATTCCCATTAAAGCCAGTCAAAATTATAAAAATATTTCATATATAAACAATATAAAATGTAACAAATTAGGTTAAAACTTACCTTTGATCACTGAGGGGACTTAGCTATTCAGTCGGTCGGTCTGTCAGTTGTTTGGTCTGACCTCCAAACCGTGGTATTGGAAACGTAATCAGTTCAAGGGCAGAGGGTGAAGATGCTGGGTTAAAAGGAGAATATATTTGATAACTCATGATGGATGCAGAAAACCCCCAACACAGCTCGTACAGGAAGCTATACTGGGATGATATGATTTTTAAATCGCATCTCTTCAAAAAATTACAGGCATCAGGTTAATGCATATTATTTTATTTTTTCTGTGATGAAACAACACAAATTAGTGTTAACTCTCCTTCTTCACCCCCTTCCCCCTATGAAAAAAAGACAATAAGAAAAATACAAAATATAAGATGAAGCCTGTCATCTTGTAAGTTGATACACCATCAGTAGCTCAAACATGACATGTTGGCAAAATGAATGTCTGTCACGCACATTAAAGAGCGAGGAACTTGTGTTTGATGCCTTACAATACCATCAACTGCCTAAAACCTTTCAAAGCAAGATCAGTCATGCGTTTATGAAAAAAATTGAGTGTTTGGGAACCCGTCATCTTTGGAGGGCCCTCCTAGCACCCCCACCACTTTGCGCACATTAGAAAATTATTTCCCAGCATAGTTTTGTCCATGGATCATTGTTATGTAAATGAAAATAGTTCATTTGTTTGCTAAAGATTGACCCCCTCCCCCTCGCCAGCCCAACTCCCAATCTATAACTTTTCTTTTGGAGCTAATTTCCTTACCACACATACCTCGTCAATTTGCTAAAAGCTCTCCACATCAGCTGCACAAACTCCTACATGGACATCAACCACTGGGGGTGCTAGTGGTCCCTCATCTCTTGCATATCCCAGCTGTCTATTCTACTGGTAAACTATGAAAAAATATGAAAAATATTTGTTTAATTTTTTTGCATTTGTTCAAACAAGCCACTTCATCTCACGGTTGGATATCCCTTATCTAAAGCAATTAAGAAGACCTTGAATAATTAAGTCTCAGTCTTGCAAACATGGGATGAAACAACCCAAATTAGTGCTAACTCCCCCCCCCCCCCCTCTCACAACGTGACGGACATGTGCGCTATACCAGAAGCCACTAGTACTATTATTATAAGCAACCCCCCCCCCCCCCAACAAAACAAAAAGCCCGTCATCCTCTAAGTCCAAGGCAAAAGGTACACCTTAAGTAGCTCAACCACAACTTTGGTGGCAAAATGAAATTATCATGCACAATAAAGAGGGAGGAATTTGTAGTGGACGTCTTCCCATACCATCAGCTTTATCTTTGTCTTTAAAGCAAATTAATTAAGAGCAGGCATGCGTTTATGAGCATAAAGCCGAGTGTATAAGAAGCCGCTCCAGCTTATGCTAGGTTGACCCCCCCCCCCCCCCCCTCCCATCCATTAGTACCTCAACAACATGCTAAAAGCTCTCCACGTCAAACTCCTACTTAGACATCAGCCACTGGGAGTGCTAGTGATGGTCCTCTCAGCCGGCTATTCTACTGGTAAAACCGGGAAGAAACATGAAAGGTATTTGCTTAATTTTTCTGCATTTGCTGAAATTAAGCCACTTCATCTCAATTCTCATGGTTGGATTTCCCTTTAAATTATTAGCAAGCACAAAATTGTTTATTCATGCAAGCATACCTGGCTTTACTATTCAAGTCTCAGTCTCGTATTTATAACATGAACATGGAAAGAGCTTACGAGGGGGTCATTTAATATTTCAATCTAGTACTAGGAGTACTTAAGTACTAACGTAGTTCTAGATCTAGACTCAACTCCTACGTCGCAATTGCCATTTTATGATTTGGCATTGTCATATCAACATTGACATTGAATTTTAACCAAAATGTGCCCTTGGCTAATTGGGCCTTGCCTTGGAGGCTTGGGCTGGTACTGCTTAATCAGTTAACATAGTTAATGTAAAATTATTATTAATGATATCTCCCCTGCCCTGGCCTTGGCTTCACTCTTCAGCGAATTCGCCTTGTGACTCGTGACATTGTTGTTACTGCATGTAACTGCTCCTGCACTTATACATGTTCAAGCTTATCTAAGATACTGTGTTACTTAATACTTAGTAGCACTCTGTTGATAGTACTAGTAGTACTACTACTACTAGTAGTAGTAGGCGAGTACTACGTACTACTAGATCTGCATACTAGTAGTAGTAGTAGACCGACAATACAACTCACGCAGAAAACAGTGCGTGGGACCGTAATGACCTATCTCGCCATTTCGTAACTTGATATCCGTTCAGAATATGAGTTTGTTTATACTGCTACAGACGATATTATTGAACGATGCATTACATTGTTTTAAAATAAGTGAAAATAATTACCTAGGGCGGTCAGATTCCTCTAACAATTCCGCCAGAAGCACCGGCATCTGTGACAAAGGCTTCGCGGAGCCGGTTCGTGTACGATTATCAATAGCAGACTACATTTGCGCGTAAGAGACCACTAGCGCACTTCGTGAAAACGGTGTTTGCCAGTTGTACCGCTTGTGATACCTTTCGTGACGTCACGTGTGACGTAATTAAGTAAGATTAGACTTTGAAAATTACTGAAGTTGTAGACATTTATATACATTGCTCAAAAACGGTCAAAACTCGAAATTTAAAATTTCAACGATTTTGGCCACGAGGCCACTTCGTGAAAACGGTGACGATTATATATAAAGGAGAGATAGAGGAGAGATAGAGCGGGGATAGATCGATATCTCTATCTCTCCTCTATCTCTCCTTTATCTCTCCTCTCTCTCCATCCATCTACCCTGCTCTATATCTCCTTTATCTCCATCTATCTATCCCTGCTCTATCTCTCCTCTATCTCTCATTCATCTCTCCCCTCTCTCCTTTATCTCTCCTATCTCTCTCTCTCCATCCATCTACCCTGCTCTATATCTCCTTTATCTCCATCTATCTATCCCTGCTCTATCTCTCCTTTATTTCTCATTCATCTCTCCTCTATCTCTACCCTAACTCTCCTCTATCTCTCAATCTATCTCCATCCATCTATTCCTGATCTATCTCTCCTCTATCTCCCCTCTATCTGTCCTCTATCTCCATCTATCCAACTCTACCCTATCTGTCCTTTTTCTGATTGTATCTCTCCTCTCTCTCCAACCATCTATCTCTACCCTATTTCTCATACCGGGGGAAATAGATAAAAGGGGAGTAGGCAGAGAGGGAGTGCAGAGAAAGAAAAAGGAAAGAGAACGGGAAAGAGAGAATTAGAAGAAAGAGAGGGAGAGACAGAAGGGTTATATTGAGAGGGTAGGAGAAAGAGAGAGTGAGAGAAAGAATGGGGGAGAGTGAGAGAGAGATAAGAGAAGGGGAAAACCTAGAAAGTTTGAAAGAGAGAGAGGGCTAGAGAGAGATAATACATTTCAAAAATTGGGGAAAAAGCCTGGAATTAAGAATACTTCGCCATACATGTACCTCCACCCAGAAAATGTCGATCGTGGTCATGAGCGCGAGCAAGTGTTACGGTGTTGGTATATTATACGGTGTAAAGCGCACGTGCGGAGCAGTGCTCTGAGCTGGGTGCAACTTTAAAAAGCGCCCTCTCCTGACGAAATACGAATAACCGTGTTTTTCGATAAACCTTGTTTTTCGATAACCCTTGTTTATCGATAAACCTTGTTTATCGTCGATAAACCTTGTTTATCGAGGGAAACTGTGTTTATCAGTCGATATACAGAGTTTCTCACGATAAACAAGGTTTATCGCTCGATAAACCTTGTTTTTCGCTCGATAAACCTTGTTTATCGGCGATAAACAAGGTTTTTCGGGGTTATTGGGCATATGGCGCGCCATAAACGTACGCATATGGACACTAAAGATTAAAATACAAGTTCCTAAACCAGGTTTGTAAATAACAAAAGGAGGTTTGGCGAAACAAAAGGAGGTTTGAGGTCAAACCTTGGTCTGAGCTCAAACCTTGCTTTGTGAATTCGGGCCATTGTCTTTCAATTGTCAAGGAAGACAAAACACAGTACAATGAGATACGTGTACCAGAAAGTAACAGAGACAAAATGTTACCAAGGAAGGAGATTAGACGAAGACTATACAGAACAATAATAACGGTGAACATGAAGTGATAGAAGAAGAAAGAGAGTAGCGAATTAACAGCTAGGGGTCTGTATAGAGTACCAAAGTACAGCTGTATAGGTCAATTACAAATTTAAAAAATATATATCAACAGCATCAACATAGGATGGAACAGAGAAAGATCGGTGATAGGCTTTTACATAAATCGACCAGATTTATTTTCATATTCTAAGATCTAGACAATTTCTGTATTGAATAAAAAGTAAAATCAACTTGGGTACAGAACTAGTGTTCGACTAGCCCTTTTTCTATTGCTCTCGCTCACCCCCCTCCCCCACACTGCTTTCCCCTCTCTCTCTTGCTTACACTCCACTTCTTTCCCTCTCTATATATATATATCTATCTCTCCCCCACCTCCTCTCTATTTCGATTCCCCTCCCCCACATTTTACCCCATCTCATATACGAAGAGACTTTCATCATAACTTGGTATTCTGGACCAGTATGTTACAGAATGTCTCCCTCATGTTGCAAAGAATTCAGATCCATCAGATAGAAAATAAATTTGGAACTTTCACCATCATCAAAATATAAACATAATTGTAATAATAATATTTTTTTTATAAAGACAGACAACAAAGAACTTGGAAAGATGCAAGAATATACAATACAGAAAAGATTGTAAACAATGATACTATTCATATCGTTTACACTTTTATTAATTCATGAGTCACCTGTAAACGCATGCATACTCCATATGCGGAATATATCAATTACAAGTATCACTTTGATGTGACTACACGTACATTCTTGTACAGCATGATTTTTAAAAATTTAACATTTTAAAACTCTTTTGAATTCAATTCACTGCGTGGTGATTCATTTTGCGAAACAAATAACACAGGCCCAATTAATGAAGAAAAAAAAAACATACACAAAAACAAAATCATGAACATGTTGAATGTCGCCAATTATCTTTATCTCCATATAAATCCCAAGAAAGACATTTATAATCCTTAGTATTTGATTACAACTACATCCACACATGATTATAGATTTTCAAAAATGCAGCATTTGATGCCAGATAAAAAGGACAAAATTCAACCTCTTATTGAACAAATCCATATTAAATGATATTTCTGAACTCAATCTTTAATAAAGTATATAATAATGATAATTGAAAACTGAGAAGAAAAAATATTCCTTAAAACTTATTAATATACATCACACACCATTTATCCATCAGTACTGTACATGTATATAAACAGTGTATTCTTTATCTTCGAGATATAAAACATAGAAAATTTCCTTTTCAGACACTTTCAGTAAGTACTCACAATATCTATCATAAAATAAAATCTGACTCTTCACTGCACACATATTATTGAGTTGACAAACAAGTATTTTCAGCATTTCATCTACATTATTGCAGAAGTTTGACCCAAATCGCATGTTATTTCATGAGTCACACACAAATAAGGCTGGAATGATGAGATGGTGAAAGACTTGTGAGCTATCAAGTTAATCAAGGCAGTTAGGTGACTCCTCCAGAATCTGAATAGTGTCATTTTATTTCACGATTGCAATCTCTCCAATCTCCCGAAAGATACATGTGTATATTCTTTGGCAGAAGTTTGTATAACCTACCTTATGTCTTTTACAACAACAATTTTTTGTTAAAGAAATCATATTTCAAGTAGTTGATCGTTGTTTCTGAATGGTTCATCTTTATGAATTTGATTTCCAGCAGAACAATTGTTACTTTTTCTGACCACCAACCCCCTCCAACCCCCCCCCCCCCCCCCCCAGTAAAAAAATCCTGAGTACATAATATACTTAAATTCACTAGTGGAACTATCTGAGTGACAGATCCGTGACTGCAACATCTATACTAGAACATTCAGGAAGGCCATTGATAGATTCTACTAAACACCGCCGCGCCCTCTCTCTCATCGGAGCCTTCCCATTGTGTCAATATTTATCTCTACATCAAGTATTTGTAACATGTGGATCACCTGATGATCATTATAGTCGCACAGAAAATAGAAATAAGCACACAGGTATTCTCAAGTCAACTTTCAAAAATTTGAAACCAAGAAAAAAGTACACCCGTGTTGCAATCAATTGTTTTGTAATGATCAATGTGCATGAAATGATCACATGCCAATGGATTAAAAATAACAATCTTGAACATCATATACAGTTTTGGGAAGCCTTCAAAAGTTTTAGTTGAATTTCTTTGATTTTAGATGAATAAAAGCAAGATACTAGTAATACTTGGGACGTAGTAAATCTCTTACTCCTCAAGAGAAATCTTAAAATGATGAGAGGTAGAAAATGATTATTTACAATCCTGAGATGTAAATTCTAACAATGGGTAACCTGTGTCTACCCTAAAGTCTACATGCATCCTGTCTCTAAGGGAAGCACTGGGATAAATGTAACAGGTGCACTCGAAATGGAAGGGGTTCTAACATAGGGGAGTGTATATAGCTGTTATATAACATTTGTTGCAGATATTTACACTGCAATTCACCGGAAATCATACATAGAATACCAAATGATCTCGACCATAAATCATTTGATATAAGAAGAGGGACATGAGACTATACATTCAACACGTTTCTTTTCAATTTCCTCTTTGTTACCAAAACTGTACATGAGCTGAAATCCTCACTTCACC